CCGGAGCTAAAGTAGTAAGCTTCATTGATGTAATATTCACCCTTGGAGTGGTTGCTGTGGTAACTCGTTCCTGAACTCTTGTACCAACCATGAAAACTCCAGAAGAACTCAAATCTTCTATCACAACTACTACCTTATGAGTTATATAACCTTCTCTCCACACATTTTGAAATGGAACAAATTTAAACTCTGGCTCAAAATAAGTACATGTGTATTCCCCTTGGTCTTCCCATGTAACCTTACGCACAAAAGGTGAACAATCATCCCTAACTTTCAACCACCTCCAATCATTAAACAAAAGATACTTCCTCTGATCACGAGGCACAGTCTATGACTCTTTTGAGTATTTGACAAGTACTCAAAACCTCTTATAGTCTCATTTGCAAAACCCTGTAGGGTGCAGGTTATCAATGTGATCTGCCAAAAATGTCACCCCATACCATGGAAATAATCCTATACCCCACTTGTCTCCTAGACTTATCCTCCAATGATAGGACTCCAGATTATGAAATTGTGCCAGTTCCCTTTTCTTCCTACTTCCAGAAATAGAATCAGATTGAATCCTCATCAGAAACTTTTGGACAGTAAAAACCTCATATGGAAGCTTCAGCATTGCCATGTAACAACATCCTATCCACCCATATGGTAGAAATATATATGCCTTATCACCACAAATCCACCAAATATCCTTAAAATTCCCTATAGTCACATTTCCAGGCAACTTTTGGTTGCGCACCATCAAAATTCTATTCAGTTTGTGATGTGGTACCTGAAAAGTTACTTTATACAGGTCATCTATAGCCTCATATTTATGCTCACCCAAGTCCATAATATAATTATTACAGTCTGATATTCCCATAAACTTTCCAGGCCGTTATGAGTATCATCTGAACAAAAACAGTCTGTGCCTCGTGATCAGAGGAAGTATCTTTTGTTTAATGATTGGAGGTGGTTGAAAGTTAGGGAACTCCATTTGATTCAAATCCGGGTCACTTCCTGTAACATTTCTCCACACTTGATGGGCTCTTGACACATAGGCCCTCGGGTTTTCTCCCTGTCCCAGTGGCTCAATAAGAATATTATTGAATAATATTATTAGGATGTACATTTGTCGGAAATGTGTCTCTTAGCGCTCTCCACACTCGACCTTTATTTGCAGAAAACATTTTTCTATTACCTTTGCATTTTCTCCTATTTCTTCTGCACCTCTATCTCTCTTATCTTTCGCTGCGTTTATCCGTTTCTGTCCCTCATTTTCAAACAACTGAAATTTGCCAACTTCAAAGAAATCGGAAACATATTAATGTAATAGCAATTCACAAAAGTAAATCCACCTACAATATGAACTAAACACACAAATAATCTGCCTCATCGTAAGTAAAATTTTCTCAAATATCCTGCAAATAAAAGAAAATATAATCCTACATAAAGCTCAAAGTAATCACACACCCACAAGGGACCAACTATCACCAAATGTGTTCCTATTCGCAGCAAAACACTCAACTATTTATCACCCAGTGTTCACACCCATGCACCTCAAATCATCAAATAGTCTCAATATTGAATCCCCAGTGTAGCTCAAATCAGAATAAACCATGCACAAATAATAAAACTCACATTTGCAATTCTTAACAGAGTTTAGACCAAATAAGCACATTCCATTAATTAATTAAATGCATTGATCAGTCAGTCTGTTGCCAAACCTCTCTTTAAAAAAAAAAAAAACTACAACATATAGTATCACATAAACAAATAGTTATACTCTTTAACCCCAAATAGTTATATTTATATATACATACATACATATATATATATACATATACATATGTAAATACATGCATACATATATTTAAATGCAGGTATTTGTAGTGTTTTGTGGATAAAACACACTGGCCTTAATCAGATTGGAGTCAGATGGGCATGCGGCCGTCAGCAGACCTCAATCCGTGTCAGCACTGGAGCTGGCCTCCCCCCTTTTCTCTCCCTCTCTCTCTCTCCAATTCTCACACACCAGAGGTGGATAAAGGAAGAAACAGACCAGAATTAAGTATCAAATAAACGCACTAAGTTTTTTTTAACAACACATTAAGCAATCCAATATGATTTACGCACATTATCTGCCAACACTTCCTCCTTTAAACACTAAGTTATCATTAATAAAGAAATTTCAGTTTATTTCACTCTAATAACACCTTAAAAACACAAACATCCTCACTGGTCTCTCCACTCCTTTCCAAAATCATAAACGACCTTCTTCAGGGCTCATAAAGATTCCCCTGAATGAGGCTCATGAATATTATACATTTATAAAAGTCCTCTTTTTCTGAGGCTTATAAATCTTAACAAATGCAAAAATGTCCCTCAAGAAAGCTCATGAATATTAACAGACCAAAAGAGTTCATATGCTTTTACACATTATCATCTATACATTCCTAGAGCCAGTCACACAGCTGGAACACCGCCAAAACAAACAATACACACACACACACACACACACACGGAGAAACCAGCTCCGCACACACAGAGAAAGGGGGGCCAATCCCCCTCACACAGAAACACACAACGAGCTCAGAAAACACAGAAGACAAAGAACAACATTTAATCCTATAGCATGCTTTTTCCTGCCACTCCTTTTTCTCTTTTCCTTCTAAATTTATGCTCCCTTCATGAGGTGTGAATATTCAATAAAAAGCTGCTTCAGACACTGTTCGTCAACTAGTGTTCGAGTGGGAACTTTACAATTGAATTTTCCATTCCACACCTCCAGTTCCTTTGAACTGACCCGAAATTCACCTAGTGATTTTCCAGGATTTTAGGCCCGTCTAAAACCGCCTCCCAGAGGGCTTTGGTCCAAATCTGCAGCTCCTTTTCTCTTTTAACTCATATCGTCTCTATTTTCTTTACCTTCTCTTATTTCTCTTTAACTCTTCTCTTCACTATTTTCTTTAACTTCTCTTTTTCCCCATTAATCTAATTTCCCCCAGTGCCCTGGGCTGTTACTTTTCACTTTTTTCCTTTTTTAACCTAATCTGACTATTTCTCTAAGCCAACTTTCACGCAGTGACTAATATACACATGTCTTACCGTTAAGAAGATAAGGGCCCAACCTTCATTAATCTCACATGGTGTTATTTAGCTCACCGTATCGTTACTAATTAGGCTATTTTACACTTTTACATCAGCTTTCCTTTTCTCTATTATACTCCCCCTTTTTATTGCTGTGTTTACAACGCAATAAACCCCAATTTAGAATGGAGAAATACTCCAAACATCAACACAACATGGCCCACACATAATTCTTTACGGTGTGACTAGACAGCAAACACCCAACAGCCTCAACAAAAAAAACAGCACTCACCTGAATTGCCAGCTAGGTGCGGGAGTAAGTGTGCTAAAGCTGTCGGTGATGCAGCAAGTCACAACATGTCCGAAGTTCGTGACGCCAAATTCTTGTTGTTTCTTAAGTAGTGATGATGTGAAAATGCTGAAGAAGTCTTTGCTGACACTGTATTCCTTGCATAAGATGTTTATTACAAAGTAAAACAGTATCACATCAAGCACTATAAAGTGCCTGAGAGAGGATCCGTGCCAATTCTGAAGTGTCCCCTCCAGAACAGAATATCCAACTGTTTATATAGGGTGCTTGTTGTTGAAAAAGCAAACTGAACATATGGCCCTTTTTAAATTGATCTCATCTATGTGGAACTAAGAGAGAGACCTTTGGAACATTCCAAATCTTGCAAAAACAGATAACACAGAGGACTTCAGACCTCACCTTATACTTATAGAAGTTAAGAGTGTTTTTACCTTCTTTTATAAAACTATTCTTCTAAATACACCTCAGTACAAATACAAACAAACCAAGTAAGAAATTAAGTATAGATACATATGTGAGTTTTATAACCAGAAGAATTTTTGTGACTAATGGCTCTAAATGCTGTTTTAATCTTTAAAGGTCTATAAGAAAACAAACAGATCTGCTTTGATTATTAAGTTTAAAGAAAGTGAAAGGAAGTTGTTAGATTATGTCTGTAAACATCTAGAAGGGGGAGCTGTTTTACTTCAAGCCCTCAGCATTTGCACTTCCAGTTCATAGATGTGAGTGCCTCAAGCGTTTCAGAGAGCCATTTCAGAGAAGCTCCACATTCACTTCTATTCATTTCCAGACTGTGGTGAACATATGTTAACCAGTAATTCATAACAATGTTAATTTAATCCAAATTTTATGTTTGATGATGTTTATTACAACAAATATTATTTACCAGTAGAGACAGGAAATCACAGTGCAAGATTTAAAGTGAATAATAACATTTTTATAAACTTTTATAAAGTTTTTATGTACTGTTACTCACTCTTAATTTGTATGAATTTTACTATTTATTAATGCATTCACATAATTTGATAAATGCTTTATTTTGAATGTATTGTTAAATAATACCACTAATAATAATGATACTAGTAATAAGATTAATAATAGTATCACTTTCAACATGCTCACAATTTGCTGAGCAGCTTCTACAAACAGGTTATTTTCACAGTACAGTGAGATTTGTGTCATTAAGGCATCTGCAGAGTCTCATTGGCTAACTTAATATTAGCTTAGTGAGATAGAGACCCAAACAGAGCCACACACCTCAGTACAGGTTTCATTCTGACAGACTGCTGCTCAGATCACAATGTGTTAGTGAACGTTTAACCATAAATAACCAGTTCTATAATATTTAAAACAAAATTTAACCTCAATTAATGTTATAGAAATTATTATATTATGTAATTATATTACATTATTGCCTGGGAATATTTATAATTGTTGGTTTTGGAGAAATCAAAAGCAAAAAGATAATGCTAAGTTATCTTGGGAATTTGAGGTAAACTAAAAATATTTTTTTAACTAAACCGCTCAAATCTAATGAAATATACAGTAAGTTGATTATTCTGGGTATTTGTATTAATGATGATTATGTTACTGTGTTTGGTCCTGATTAGGCAGCATTCCACACAAACAGCACTGCAGATAAACACTCTGGCAGATATTCACCAACCAGTGGATGACGTCCTTCACAGAGTCTTAGAGAGACACAAAACCAGCATGAAGAACAAGTACGAGAGCTTATTTGAGGGAATCAGAACAGAAGAGAATAAAACCCTCCTGAACAGGATTTACACACAGCTCTACATCATAGAGGGAGAGAGTGAAGGAGTGAATGAAGAACATGAGGTTCTACAGATGGAGAAAACATCCAGGAGACACTTACAAGACTCTCCAATCAACTGCTCAGACATCTTTAAACCTCTACAAGGTCCTGAAGGAGAAACGCTAGAAGGGAACATTAGAGCTGTGAAGGCTGACAGTCTCAGACACAAAGAAAGAGAAGAAGATAACAGACCAAAAGAGCCAGAGCTCAGAAGTGTTCTGACTAAAGGCATCGCTGGAATTGGAAAAACTGTCTCTGTGCAGAAGTTCATTCTGGACTGGGCTGAAGGAAAAGCCAATCAGGATGTAGAGCTCATGTTTGTGCTTCCGTTCCGGGAGCTGAACCTGATTAAAGATGATCAATACAGTCTTCATGGACTTCTGTGTGACTTCCATCCTGAGCTCAAAGATCTGGACCCAGAGATTTATGATCAGCTCAAAGCTGTGTTTGTATTTGATGGTCTGGATGAAAGTAGAATTCCACTGAACTTTAAACAGTGTAAGAAAGTATCTGACATCACCATGGCATCATCAGTGGGTGTGTTGATGACAAACCTCATCAAAGGAGAGCTGCTTCCCTCTGCTCTGATCTGGATGACCTCCCGACCAGCAGCAGCCAATCTGATCCCTCCTAAATACATCAGCCGTGTGACAGAAGTTCAGGGATTCAATGACCCACAGAAGGAGGAGTACTTCAGGAAGAGGATCAGTGATGAAGACCAAGCCAAGAGAATCATCTCCCACATTAAGACAGTGAGGAGCCTCCACATCATGTGCCACATTCCAGTCTTCTGCTGGATCTCAGCCACTGTTTTTCAGCAAATTATCAAACAGAGTCATACAGAAATCCCTAAAACTCTGACTGAAATGTACTCACACTTCCTGCTCACTCAGACAAACATGAAGAATGAGAAGTATGAGGAGAAAAAGAGGAGAAACCCAAAGAACCTGCTGGAGTCCAATAGAACCATTATACTGAAACTGGCTGAACTGGCTTTCAAACAGCTGATGAAGGGCAATGTGATGTTCTATGAAGAGGACCTGAGAGAGAGCAGCATTGATGTCACTGAGGCCTCAGTGTATTCTGGGATTTTCACTGAGATCTTTAGGGAGGAATGTGTGCTTTACCAGAGGAAGGTCTACTGCTTTGTTCATCTGAGCTTTCAGGAGTTCCTGGCTGCTGTTTATGTGTTTCACTGCTATGAGAGCAAAAACATGGAGGAACTGCAGATATTTAACCCACGAAACAGAGAGAGGTCTAAGAGCGTTCCGGTGGGGTTTTCTCACCCACAGCACAGTGAGTGGTCTAAGAGTGCTCCGCTGGGGTTTTCTCACCCACAGCACAGAGAGTGGTCTAAGAGTGTTCCGCTGGGGCTTTCACATCCACAGCACAGTGAGTGGTCTAAGAGTGTTCCACTGGGGCTTTCTCACCCACAGCACAGTGAGTGGTCTAAGAAAGATCTACTGGATGAGCTGCTGAAGGGAGCAGTGAATAAAGCAGTAAAGAGTCAGAATGGACACCTGGATCTTTTCCTCCGTTTCCTGCTGGGCATCTCACTGAAGTCCAATCAGAGACACCTACAGGGTCTACTGACCCCAACACAGAGCAGCTCAGAGAGAACCAGACAGCACATGAAGAAATTAATCAAAGGAGAAGATAAACGATACCCCATCTCCACTGAGAGATCCATCAATCTGTTCCTCTGTCTGTCTGAAATGAATGACCAGTCTCTCTCCAGAGAGATTCAGGAGTATCTAAACTCAGAGAGACACTCAGGGGAGAAACTCTCTCCTGGACAGTGTTCAGCACTAGCCTGCATGCTTCTGACCTCAGAGAAGGTTCTGGATGAGCTGGACCTGAAGAAATACAACACATCAGAGGAGGGTTATAGGAGACTGATCCCAGCTCTGACTTTCTGCAGAAAAGCTCTGTGAGTGTTACATCTACATTAATACAGCAGATTATTATCTGATTATTGATGATTGATCAGAGCTGATCAAATTTGATCTTCAGTTCAGATAATTAAAAAATAATTTTATTTATTATAGTTTTAGTTATTATGAAGAGCTGCAGGTTCACTGCTTGGCCACTTTAATAGAAATCCCTATTTTATAACTGATTGTTATAGTGTCAGTATTTGTCAGCGGTACACTGTGATATTGATTTTGTGATTTAGCTGTTCAGTTTTAGGAACAATAATTATGGGCTTATTCAGTTTATTAATTATAACTTCTTAAATTTACATTGTAAATGTTTTAACATTTTTATAAAAAACATATAAGTGAGTAAATGTTCATTTACAATGTTAAACAATAGCTTATTTAGATGGCTTGATCTACAATCAACAATTATATATTATAAACAAAGACTCATTTACATGTCCTTCAATTTTGCATATTAATAGTGAAGAGAATTTTTAAATAAAGTTAAAGTGATTTTTTTACTTGAAATTTACAATTTAATTCTGTCTGTGGAGAATTACACAGGAGGAGATTAGTTTTATATGATATTAGAATGAGCTCAAGCTGATTACTTAACTGTTCAGTCTGGGTTTACATTCTCCACTTTTCCTAATAAAAGATTACAATCCAAAAAATATTGATTAATCTCGTTCAGTGACATTTCACATGTTAAACACTTTGTCAATGTTGACATACAAAGAATGCATTTGAAATTTCTAACACTTTCAGTGAATAATTAGTTAATAAAGTCAGAGCAGTAAAACTGGGCAGTAGGCAGTAAAAATTACTAAAACTGCAAAGTCTCTCTTGGAATGAAATGAAGCTGGTTAGCATTTAGCGTCATCTGACACAAACGCACACAATTCACTCTTATTTCAGTGCAGCTTCTCCCAAGTGTCAAATATCAGTAAGACCTGAAAAATGGAAGCTCTGAATACAAGCTTCAATGTTTGAGCTACCAGAGCCAGAATCTAATTAGGAGTCAGAGGACAATGACCTACCTGACAATCAGACTCGTTCATCTCAGTCTGATACAGTCACGCTAAGTATTACTCAGGATTTCTACTGTTATATTATTAAGGGAGGGGTCATGCTAAGTATGGCTCTAGTTTTATAGCATTATAGTGTTAGGGGAGGGGTCAGGCTAAGTATGACTGTTGTTTTTATAGCATTATTGTGTTAGGAGAGGGGTCATGCTAAGTATGGCTCTAGTTTTATACCGTTATAGTGTTAGGGGAGGGGTCACGCTAAGTATGACTCTCATTTTTATAGCGTTATAGTGTTAGGGGAGGGGTCACGCTAAGTATGACTCTCATTTTTATAGCGTTATAGTGTTAGGGGAGGGGTCACGCTAAGTATGACTCTCATTTTTATAGCGTTATAGTGTTAGGGACGGGTCACACTAAGTATGACTCTCATTTTTATAGCGTTATAGTGTTAGGGGAGGGGTCAGGCTAAGTATGACTCTCATTTTTATAGCGTTATAGTGTTAGGGACGGGTCACACTAAGTATGACTCTCATTTTTATAGCGTTATAGTGTTAGGGGAGGGGTCACTCTAAGTATGACTCGTTTTTATAGCGTTATTGTGTTAGGTGAGGGGTCAGGCTAAGTATGGCTCTAGTTTTAATATTGTTTTAGTGTTAGGGGAGGGGCGACTATAAGTATGCGTCTAGTTTTTGCAGCATTATAGTGTTAGTGGAGGGGTCATGCTAAGTGTGGCTCTAGTATTAATAGCATTATAGTGTTAGGCAGTGGTAACAATAAGTATGGCTCTAGTTTTATAGCGTTATAGTGTTGGGGAGGGATCACGCTAAGTATGGCTCTAGTTTTTATAGCATTAAAGTGTTAGAGGAGGGGTCACGTTGAGTATGGCTCTTGTTTTTATAGTGTTTTAGTGTTAGGGGAGGGGTTACGTTACGTATGACTCCAGTTTTTATAGCGTTATAGTGTTAGGGGAGTGGTCACGCTAAGTGCAGCTCTAGTTCATATAACATTATAGTGTTAGGGGAGTGGTCATGCTAACTATGGTCATCAGGAAGGTAAAAGACACACTTGTTAATGTGAAATGTAATTAAACTTGCTACACTCATCGTCATATTTCGAAATAAATAAATAAGTAAATAAATAAAAATAAATAAAAATACTTTTTTGCCATCTGTTAGGCATGGGGTTCACTGTTTTATGCTTTGTGGTTGTTTAGCAGCCAGTAGAAGAGTTGCGGAGCTGAGCTAGTAATATACATTTCACTTGGCTCTAAACTTCTACTGAATCTGTTTCTAGAGCCATCCTTGAACTACAAAAACACTCTAAAAGTATAATTTGCTGTATCATATATTGCCTTTTTATTGTCCTAAACAGCAAGCTTTTACTTATAGAGGAAAAGCAATTGCTGTGTTTTCTTTTTTTAAATTGGATCACTTGGATAAATAATCAAGCTACGACTATCTTTTGCACTTATTCCTGAAAATAAGGCCAAAGTAGTAAACGGAGAGTAAAGTAATTCTATTGCCATTCTCCTGATTACACCATGTACTATATTTGTTCTGATTTTTACAGACTAGCTTGGTGTGGTCTCACCACAAATTCCTGTGAGAATCTATCATCAGCTCTACAATCTGTAAATTCATCTCTGAAAGAGCTTGACCTGAGTAACAATGACCTTCAGGATTCAGGCGTGGAGCTGCTCTCTGCTGGACTGAAGAGCTCACACTGTAAACTGGAGATACTCAGGTAAACTTTCTGTGAATTAATTCTTGAATGGAAATAAGCTAATGAGGCAGAATAAAATGTTAACCTCAAATACTAACACAATTATTTAGTACTTTAGAATTCTGTTTTTTCTCTCACTAACCATAATATAAAAATCCACAAAAAATGTAGTATGTTATCTAAATAATATGATAAACCTATTTTGTTACTATATTCATAAATCCTTCTTTGACTGCACTGTAATGCCTGTTTGCAAACTACACATCTATAGTCTTTGTGAAAAAGCTTATGAGAATCGGGGATCAGCTCTACAATCACCAAACTCCTCCCTCAGCATTTAGTTGTATAGTGAAATGTTTTCACACTGAAACTTAAACCTATTTTAGTTTAAAAGCAGAGCAGGAATTTCTCCACGGATTGGCAATAGTGTCAGTCTTGAAATTGGAGGAAAAAGATTTGAAGACACTGTTGATAGCTCTGCTTTTAAAACAGTCAAAGAAGTACATTTTCTAAGAAAATTATTCAAACAATATTTAAACCAACATTGTTTAAATAGTTTTACAATATTTTAATTGTAATTTATGTGAAATTTCATTTCTTTTTTACAAGGTAAAAGACTTTCCTCAGAAATCTCTTGGTCAGTGTGTTGCTATTTCAGTGTTGTGGCAAGCCTAGCAGCCTTAGCTCATAGTGTTAGAAATTCAGCAGGAGGAGTCAGGAGACTGGATCTTCAGATCTCAAGTTTTGTTCACATATTTGCAGCGAATCATGCAAAGACACAGCTTGATCATCAGTCTGTCACTAGTCCAATGAACACACAGTCTGACATGGTTTAAGTAGAGATACTAAGGGTCAGAAGAGGGAGCAAATAGGGAGGGGAAGAAGGTGAAGTGAGGCAGGATCAAAAGTTATGGGATAAGTAGAAGGAGGAAAGGTGAAGAGGTCAAGGTTAAAAGTGTTAATGTTCTCATCTCAGGAGGGACAAAAACAAAAGGACATACAACTGTAAGTAAATACAGCAAGAAAGAAGAACATGTTGAAGCACAAAAGAAAACACATGGAAGGACATAAACTTTCTCCCCATAACAAACACAGACTACGGCTATACATAAAAACATATAAACACACATGTACAGTGAAACAGTGCTGTAACTGATGGACGAAACCCACTGAATCAAAGGGACAGCAGGTGGCATCACTGCTTATCTTCACTGTTTAGTTTTGAGTTGTGGAAGGAATAAGAAATGAGTTTATGTTGGAACAGTGAACCAAAGATAATCCACTGTGTCACTCTCGCAAATTCATAGCCTCATTGCATATATGTAATATAAAATATGATCAGGCCTCAGCTTTAAACTCTGGATAAAAGTTATAAAGTATAGGGTGTGGCATATGTTTGGAGGCTTGTGGGTGTGGAGATACATTGTGCTCCAATGTCTGCAGGCTGTCAGCTATGATAGGCATGTATGGATCACCTGTCATGTTCTTACAGTTTTTACTGAGCTGAGAAAATCTGCTTTTAGTTTCAGTGCACCAGTGAACTGGAATACATTACACTTGCTGGTGTCACTCCACCATTTTAAACTTTTAAACTCTAACCATCTTCACTCAGCCTGCAACTGTTGATATGATCTTGGTTCTTGTACTTATCAATTTAATTTTATTATTAGTTGACACTTTATTTGGAGATTCCTCTGTAGATGTCTTGTAGATGCTTATCTTTCGTTTACTTTCAATTAAATATCTATTAAATTCACCTTAATCTACGTGTCATGCATTCAGCTCCCTCTATGGAGGAAACGGACATCATCTCCCAGAATTCTCTGGGAGATCATGTGACTGAGAAGCCGCACTCGGAATCCGACTCGGATGTGAACTCCATTTCCCAGGATACTATGGAGTCTCATGTGACTTCAGACTCTCACAGGCGCTCCTATCAGCGCTCACAATCCCCTGAGTTTTGACTGCTTGCACCTGTGTTGATGATCATATGACAGGTAGTTTAGAGTAGATAAGCCCGGGCTTTAGATAGAATCACTGCGAGGTATTGTTTCTCTGAGACTACTGAGCGTTTTTTCTTCCTGTTCTGATTATTTACCGTGTTTGACCTTTTTGCTTCGTTTGACTCCGTTTTTGACTATTGCCTATTCCTTTGGTACTTTCGCTTGTGTGTATGATCTGTGTTCTGACTTTCGGACTGTTTTTTGACTACGATCTCTGTTTTTCCCCTTTTGACTACGGCCGCTTGGTTTTTATTAAACCATCTGCACTCACCATCCGCACACGTCTGGTTTTCTGTCCGAGCGTTACAGAATACCTCGCCACTATGCAGACGGCGGACCAGGAAGCTTTGCAAAAAGCTCTCGCTGAACAAGGACAGCTTCTGGGACGACATCAGCATGTGCTCTCCGGAGTAACTCACTCTCTGGAATCGCTGGCTCATCAACAAGCGGAGCAGCAGGCGCAGTTGGCTCAGCTCGTCAATAGCGTGAAGGAACTGACCAGTCAGCTCCATAATATGAGCCTCACTGATCAAACTGATACCGCCGCATTGTCTACCAGCGCAGCAGAAGCCGGATCGGCCGTCTTTCCGGTTAGTAAACCCGACAAGTTTGGAGGAGATCCTGATAAATGTCGGGGCTTCCTACTGCAGTGTGCGGTATTTTTTGATAATTCTCCTGCTAGCTCTGACCAAGCTAAGATTTCGTTTGTGATATCCAGATTAACAGATAAGGCACTGGAATGGGCAACAGCCAGTTGGTCTAGTCTGCATCGTTTATCGTATCTTCAGTTTGTGAAAGAGTTTAAGACTGTATTTGACCACCCTTATGAGGGTAAGGTTAGTGGAGAACTTTTGTGTCATTTACGCCAAGGGAATCGATCGGTAGTGGATTATTCACTGGAATTTAGAACTCTTGCGGCTAGCAGTGGCTGGAACGAGGCAGCTCTTCTTGTCATGTTTCGTCAGGGGCTCAACACGGACGTTTTGAATGAACTAGCCAGTAAAGACGATGATCTTACGTTAGACCAACTTATCACTCTGGCTATTAAGCTCGACCACCTCTTGAACTCCAGAAAGAGAAATAAGAGCTTAAGACCCTCACAAAACACACAGCCCCATGTAAGGATCACAAGAGAAAATCCTGACCTCCCAGAACCCATGCAGTGTGATTCCTCGCGCATATCACAAGAGGAGAGACGGCGCCGGATCACCAATCATCTTTGTCTCTATTGTGGTCAAGCAGGACATCAAGTTCGAGACTGCCGCTCCAGACCACAGCAAAGCAAGGCACCAACCCCTGGACAGCACGTGGAGTTCACTCCACGTGCTAATGTGGTGAGTGTTCCCACAAAGGGGTTGGTTTCTAAATCAGTGATTTTACCAGTTCAGATATGCTTTCATCCAAACTCTCTTGTTGTTTCAGCGTTGATCGACTCGGGGGCTGAAGGGAACTTCCTCCACGCTAGGATCGTGGAACAGCTGCAGATTCCTGTCAAGAATCTTCAAACAGCTCTCAAAGTCACCGCTTTAGATGGAGACCCAGTGGGACTGAGACCCATTACCCAAGTAACGGTGCCTTTGGAGACCAAGGCCAGTGCCCTACACTCTGAGAAACTTTCATTTCTTGTTCTGGAACAATCAGACTTTGAAATGATATTAGGGCTCCCATGGTTGGAGAAACACGATCCTACGATTTCTTGGACTGAACATACTGTTACTCACTGGTCTGAATATTGTCTTCAGAACTGCATTCACACCCCTGCCATTTGCCTTAGGTCTACCACCATAGAGAGCCCCAACTCTGATTCCCCTTTTGAAATACCCCATGAATACATAGACTTAAAGGAGGTCTTTAACAAACAAAACGCGACAAAATTGCCTCCTCATAGGCCCTATGATTGTGCCATAGAACTCATAGAGGACCCAGTACTACCTAAAGCAAGAGTATATCCCTTGACACAAGAAGAACAAAAAGCACTTGATGTGTATATTGAAGAAGCCTTAGAACAAGGGTTTATCCGGCCCTCCACCTCTCCTATCGCCTCTAGCTTTTTCTTCATTAAGAAGAAGGACGGTGGGTTACGTCCATGCATAGATTACAGAGCCCTTAACCAGATTTCCAAGGCTTATCCATACCCCCTACCTCTAGTACCAGTAGCACTGGAGCAGCTCCAGGGTGCTAAGTTTTTCACCAAATTAGATCTCCGTAGTGCCTACAATTTAATTAGAATTAAGGAAGGTGATGAATGGAAGACAGCGTTTTTGACCACAAGGGGGCACTATGAGTATCTGGTGATGCCATTCGGGCTCTCTATCGCCCCCTCGGTGTTCCAAGCCTTCATAAACGACATCCTCAGAGACATGCTGGGACACTTTGTAATCGCCTACTTGGACGACATTCTAGTCTACTCACCTTCCTTTGATACCCATGTACAGCATGTTCGAGTTGTGTTAGAAAGACTATTAGAGAATAATTTGTTCCTAAAAGGGGAGAAGTGCGAATTCCACCTCCAGTCTGTCTCATTTTTAGGGTACATCATCAGTCAACAAGGAATTGTCATGGATGACCACAAGGTGGAAGCAGTGGTCGAATGGTCACAACCCACTTCAGTAAAGGAGCTGCAGAGATTTTTAGGATTTGCTAATTTTTATCGTAGATTCATCAGAAACTTTAGCTCCATTGCATCCCCGCTGACTTCACTTTTAAAAGGAAATCCAAAGAAGATCACATGGAATGGACAAGCAGAGAAGGGCTTTCAATCTCTCAAGGAGGCGTTCACCACCGCACCCATTCTTAATCACCCTGATCCCACACAACCTTTTGTGGTGGAGGTGGACGCATCAGAGACAGGGGTAGGCGCAGTTTTATCCCAGAGGACGGGATCTCCGGCCAAGCTACACCCCGTAGCATTTTTCTCCCATAAATTGTCACCCACGGAGAGAAACTATGGTATAGGGGATAGGGAATTATTGGCTGTCAAGCTAGCGCTAGAGGAGTGGCGCCATTGGTTGGAAGGCG